ATGAGACCTGGGGAAAGGGACTGTGTGGGTTCAAGAAGTACGATGTTCCAGAAGACCGATGTGGCTGAAACGGATGGAGGGAGAGCGAGACAAAGGGAGCGTAAGTCAGGCTCTGACCTTGCGGGGTCCAGACAGGACAATGGAAAGCTGGGGACTTCGGAGCCAGCCATCGATCGACACGATCCCACTGATAGAAAGATCCCTTTGACTGCTGTGTACAACACAGATTTTTACGGTTGTGCAGACGGGAAGACCAATGAGGGGACTGTTGTACTAGTTTTAGGGGAGGGATGAGAGTGTTTGAGCCAGCTGATGGCAGTGAGTGGATTTCATTTAGGAGATGAAACTGTCAAGACTTGAACAAGGAAAAGAGATGTATCAAAGATTCTTCCAGATTTCTGGCAAGAACGGCTCGGTTTGGGGGTGGGGGAGAAGGGAATGACCATGAGTTCCATTTGGACATGTTGAGTTTGAGGTGCTTTTGAGACATACGAAAAATAAAGTCAAGTCCGTGCTTCGATGGGGAGGACTAGAGCTCAGAGCAGAGGCTAAACTGGCAAAGACACAGAACTACCAGCTGGAAAGGCAGGGGGAGCAGAGGCAGCACAGAACCCAAGATGAGGAGTGTCTAAGGAGGATGTGGGCAACTGCGTGAGATGCTTTCGAGAGGTCTAATTAGAAGGTAACTGAAGGAAGTTCATTAGGTGTAGCTGTCTTTAACTCATCCAGGCAATTTGGGTAGAATGGTAGGCAGGAAACCTAGATGCAGTGAATTGAGGAATGGCTGGGAAATGGACACATGGAGACCTTGAGAGTATCTGATTCTTCCCAGTTGGTGGACTGGAAAAATAAAAAAGCAGGGAACATGGGATTGAGAGACGTTTTTTTCTTTTAGGCTGGAAGAAGCTTGAGCCTGTTTAAATGCTGAAAGAAAGGCTTAATAGAGAAGAGCTGATGATTTAGAAGGAGGAAGTGGGAGGCAGCCTAGGACTGGGATAATGACTTATCATCTTGCTCTCCTACCAACACAGCTCCATGTGGCCCAAGATGACTGCTTGAGCTCCAGCCATTTTGTCTGAGTTCAGCAAGCAGGAAGGAAAGAGGAAGGTAGGAAGATAGTACTTCTCTTCCTCTGTTTTTAATTAACAAACATTTATTCACGAGCAATCTCCCTTCTTTTTAAAGGAGACCTTTAGAAGTTCCGCGTGGCACTTTTCCTTACATCTCATTGGCTATAACCTAACTTGTACCACATCGAGTTGAAAGGGAGGTCAGGAAATGTAGTCTTTGGACTGAGCTACAATGTGCCCAACTACAAACAGTTTCTGTTCCTAAAGAAGGTTTGAGAAATGGATACCAGGAAGCTATGAGCAGTCTTTTCTGCCATGAAGGGGTTTGGGAGGGACCAAGTGGTTTGTCTGTTGAAGAAGAGTCTGGAAAGAATCAGGATTTGGAGCCCAACGCACTGCATTCTAATCTTGGCCCATATCCTGTCACCTGTATGACCTTGAATAAGCTGCCTCCCCTCCCTGAGCCTCAGGAGCCTCCTCTGTATAATGGGAGTGAGAATCTACCCGGCAGAAAAACTGCAAATATTAAATGCGATGCCATGGAAATGCCTGAGCTGTGGTAGGCGCTGATGTTTGTTACATTCAGATCTTTTTTTTTTTTTCAAGATAATAAACACATTGAGCACCTACTGTATGCCGGACACTTGCTGGATGCTTCTTCACCATACACTTACTTATTTCTCACTCCAACCTGGTGAGATAGGTATTATAATTATCTTTATTTTATAAAGCAGGAAATTCCAGTTCACGAAGTCACCCAACAAATAAATTTCGGGATTTGAACCTAGGTCTTCTGACTCTGTGATGCTGTGATGTAATAAGAAATATATATTTGATCTTGGTCCCGGTTCCTGGCACAGAGCTTCTAAAAGGGTTTTGAAATTACCCGAGTGATAGAATGATAGAGCATCTTTTGTTATTCATAACATGCACCTTTCAACTATCCTGCAGTTTATTTTAATGAGATGACTGGTGGCTGATAGCCCCTGGATGACTTCAGGTTGGAGGCTGGTTGCCAGAGGAACCAACCACGTGATTAGAGGGGACTTTCAGCCTCCCCGCCACCCCCTCCCCCCCACACACACACTCCCTTTCCCGTCTCTGGAGAGGAGAGAGGAGCTGGGAATTGAGGTAATAACTAGTGGCCAGTGATTTCGTTAATCAATCGTGTCTTTGTAATGGAACCTCCATAAAAACCCTAAACGAAGGGGTTTGGAGAGCTTCTGCATTGGTGACCGCATCTATGTGCTGGGAGGGTGACACGCACCAAACGCCACAGGGACAGAAGCTCCTGCACTCTGTGGACCCTACCAGATCCTAGCCTATTACCTCTTCATCTGGCTGTTCTCGTGTATCCTTTGTAAGAACCCAGCAATATAAGTAAAGCGTTTTCCTGATTCCCGTGAGCCGTTACAGTGCGTTGCGGAATCTGAGGAGGGAATCGTGGGAACCCCTGATTCGTGGCCAAACTGGGCAAGAGTGTGGGTGACCTGAGGACCTGCTACCTGGGACTGGTGTCTGAAGAGGGGCGCAGTCTGGTGGGAATCTGCCCTTAGCCTGTGGGGTCTGTACTAACTCTGGGTGGTTAGCATTAGAATGACAAATTACAGGGCACGGCACCCAGTTGGTGTCTGCAGAGAACTGGAGAATGGCTTGCTGTGGGAAACCCACAAGTTCGGCGTCAGAGGTGTTCTGCCGTTGTAGGTAAAAACCCCTTAGTCGAAGACTCCGAGGCCTTTCCTGGCACCGCTGCGAGGGAAGCAGACCCTCCAAGTCCCCTCACAGCTCAGCCTCCTCGGAACCGTGTGAAGTGTCCCAAACAACTGCAGCGTTTCCTGCCTCCGGTTTTGCACCTGTTGTTCCCACACTCAACTACCTAAATTTACTCCATCTTCAAGGCTCTTAGCAAGTGAAAGTCCTCAGACACTCCCCTTGATTCCCACCCCAAGAATTACTTCTCGATCATTTAAAACCACAGTTACTGTTGGCAGTGACCTTCCTGAGGGCGGGGACTGCAGCAGGTCATGGGCCCCAGGCGTTCTCAGATTGGTTGACAGTCAGATGGTTGTCAGTCATTGGTAGATGAGGCCAGTCCCAAGGTCCTCAAACGACTTACAGGGGAGCTGGGAGACTATGACTTGGAGCTTCCAGACCCCTCCCCACCCCTCTTTCCACACCCGACCCCCTAAACAGCGCACTATGGCAGGTCCTCCTTCCACAATTTCTCGGGTCTGGTTTTCAAGGCAGCAAGAAGACACTAGGCTCAGCACAGCACTTGGGAGAACAAGCATTAAGTCGGCGCCTCCTGTTTGCAGGCACTGAGCTCCCAGGGGGGTTGAGGCAGAAACAAGGAACTCTGCTATGGACAGACTTCTTTCTCCCGGGGGAATAGCTGCCTGGGAACCAAGCTGTGAAGTGGATTTGTTTTCCCCAGGACAGCCCTACGGGTCACATGGGTTTACAATCAACCCAAGACAGGCTTCTGCCGGATGAACAAAGATACCACAACTATTGACCCTGAAATATCGCTAAAACAGCCTGAGCGAGCTGCAGGCCCTATCACAGCCACGCAGAAGTGCACGCATCAGATAACTCCGTGCCACCATGACCTTTCCACACTCTAGCACCTGGAAGAATAGATAGCCGTGCAATGCCCTCAGCTGCCTTCTGGGAACTGCGAAGGGCTGTGCATGGGGGTTGGAACCGCCTGTTGTCATAAGGTCTGTGCCTCCAACAGCTCCCCCACGGGCCCAGCAGATTCCATCAATCCTTTGTTTGGCCTCACAGACAGCCACTGAGGCAACTCTGGTTGGCAGATAACAGCTTGGGAAGGTGGCAAAAGGACACTGAAGGATATTTTGAAGAGGAATAACACATTCGCCCATCATCCCATTATCCTCATCCTCACTCGACGCCTTCTCCATACTGGCCGGGAAGCCAGGCCGGTCTTTTGGCCTGATTAGCAACTGAGAGGACAGAGATCACCTTGAGCCAGGCTCTTTGCCTTCCTGGATTTTCCTCTGTCACAAGCATTTTCCCACGTGGCTGTGCGGTCCTCGTATTGGTGTGTGATCGTCCTTTGACTATCCCTCATTTTTTAAAACAATTTATGTATTTAAATTAATTTCAAGTATACCATACATTGGTTAGACATCTATAGAGTTCATAAAATGATCCCCCCAATTGCTCCCTCCCTCCCCTGGCCCTCCACCTAGCCATCATATTAATGCTGACTGCATTCCTCATTTTAAAATGGTAGCTAATAAGCTCGTTTCCATTTGGGGCTATTATATACGGCTCTACAACAGTCATTCATGGGTTTAAAAACTATTGAATGAATTTCTTAGAAAAGCACAATGAGATATATAGGGAAGATGACTCGCTTTATAATACTTTAGCAAAAAATAAATTAAAAGGGGAGAGATCGAACCAATGGGACAAAGTCTTTGTAATCTGAGGTGATGAATGCATGGGTTTTCATGGTGCTATTCTCTCCCTTTTTAAAAAATATGTTTGAAATTTTTCATAATAGGAAATTAAAAACAAATATAAGCTCAGTCCCAGCCATCAGGGAGCTCACAGTCCGGCAAGTAAACAGACAAGGAACTGGGCCCTGCAGAGCAGCATAACGAGGGCTGGGATGGGCCTAAGTGCATAAAGTAATGTACCTAAGAACACAAGCCAATTATATCGAAACAAATTTATCAACATATATTTTTAAATTGGGCCACAGGGGTTCAAAGAAGATACGAGACGCGTGGAGCAGAGCAGCCCGAGCCAAGGGGCCTGAAGCACCCAGCCCCACTCGGCCCCACTCAGCCGCAATCAGCTGAACCTTGCATGATTGTCGTTTTAAACTACTGAGTTCTGGAATTGTGTGTTACACAGCAAAGACTGTCTGATACAATGGGAGAGATTAACCTTCTAGCAGAAGGCATCGCCTAAGCTTGTAGTTAAACCTGGAGCAGAAATAGCAAATAAGCATACGAAAAGATGTCCCACATCATACGTCATTAGGGAACTGCAAATTGAACAAAAACGAGAGGCCACTACACACCTATTAAAATGGCCGAAATCCCAAACACTGACAACACCAAATGCGGGCAAGGATGTGCGGCAACGAGAATTTTCTGTCATTGCTGGTGGGAATGCAAAATGGTTCGGCCACTTTGGACGACAGTTTGCCAGTTACTTAAAAAGCTAAACAGTCTTATCATATGACTCAGCGATTGTTCTCCTTAGCATATTTATCCAAATGAGTTGAAACTTACATCCACACCAAAGCCTGCGCACAGATGTTTATAGCAGCTTTATTCATAATTGCCAAAACTGAAGCAACCAAGATGTCCTTCAGTCGGTGAGTGGATAAACAACTGTGGTTCAGCAGCTTTATTTATAATTGCCCAAACTGAAGCAACCAAGACGTCCTTCAGTCGGTGAGTGGATAAACAACTGTGGTTCATCTGGAAGTTGGAGTATTATTAGAGAGAAAAAGAAACGAGCTATCAAGCCATAAAAAGACATAGAGGAACTTGAATTGCAACTTGCTAAGTAAAGAAGATAATCTGGAGAGGCTACATACTGTACAATCCCAAATTAATGACATTCTGGGAAAGGCAGAACTAGAGACATTAAAACATCGGTGGTTCCAGGTGTTCAGGAAGAGAGAAGGGATGAATAGGTGAAGCACAAGAGATTTTTAGGGCAGTGTCAATACTCTGCATTATGCCGAAATGGTGGATACATGACATTATGCATTTGTGAAAACCCATGGAACTGTACAACATTAAGAGTAAACCCTGATGTCAACTCTGGACTTTAGTTAATAATAATGTATCATTTTTGGTGTTTCAGTGGGAACAAATATTCCACACTAATGCAGGGTGTTAATAATAGGGTAAACTCTGGGGACAGGGAGACAGGAAGTATAATAAATTCTCTGTATTTCCTGCTCAATTTTTAGGTAAACCTAAAACTGCTCTAAAAAATAAAGTGTTTCGAAACAAAAAAAGTTGGGCTATAGTTATAAATGTGCTTCTTATTAATGCATTTAATAGCAAGCTCTAACGAGGCTAACGGGTGGAACGTTGACATGATGAGTGTTCAGGAACTCTGCTGTGCCACAGGTATTGCTAATTCTGTGGCTTGCTGCCTACATTCATAAGAGACAGAAGTGCTAAACGTCATGCAGAGGTCCCTGGAATGTTTTTGTCCCCCATCCAGGTTCACAGATCCTTGTATTACAGTAACCTTTCTTTGACCTTAGGATATACTCCTGGAAATGGTTTTGTTGGGTCATGGAGTGGGGCCTCTGCCACACACACAAGATTTTCCTGCACAGAGCAGTCCAAAATCCATGTTGGGGAGTCTACGGCCATGCTCCCCTGAACAAGCCCGACCCTTTCTGATCTTGGAAGCTAAGCAGGGTCGGGCCTGGTTAGTACTTGGATGGGAGACCACCTAGGAAGACCAGGTGCTGTTGGCGTGAAAAATAAAAAGTAAGGGATTGTAAACTGACAAAGTCCTTGCAATCTGTGAGGTTGACCAAGGGTTGCCTCGCCTAAAAAAAAAAAAAAAAATCCAAATTAGCAGAAGGAAGTTCCTTACAGAACAAGTTTATACAACCGAATAGAAAACTTAACATCTTAGTCTAAAGCAGCTGGATTTGGGTTTCTGGAAGAGCAACCAGAGGCTTCTACTTCACAGCTACCTAACCAAGAAGGCCTCAAAGGTGTTCTTTCCAGAACAATCCAGAACAAAGAGAAGGTCTTCTCTGTAAACAGAATC